ATGCAGGGTGACTTCAGCCTCTCTGCCCGGAGCTGGTGAGCCGGCTTTACATGGTGTCCTCAGAGGGTGGGGCTGGGCATTCTCAGGCCCCTCCCCATCCCAAGCAACTGTCCATGGTGGCACCATGAGTTATTCCCCTTTCCTGGGGACAAAATCCACCACCCAAGGAGTGATTAGGAAAAAGAGTTCACTGACAAGTAAAGCGCCTTGTACGCAGTACCGTGCGGGGTAGGTTCGTCTCGTCGCTGTCATCTTCATTCCAAGACAAGAGCCAGGATGGGAAACACCATGAGGAGATGAGGAAATTGAAGGAGGGCGCAGGGGCGTTCAAGGGGGTGGGTGTCCTGGTGTCTGCCCCCTCCAGAGAGTTCTGCATTGGACCCATTGCTCAGAAGGGGAAAGGTGTGAAGGAATGATGGGCGGATGAAGGGTATTAGAAGGGATCAGGCCGGGCTCGGTGGCTCAGCCTAATCCCGTGCTTTGGGAGGCTGAGGTGAGTGGATTGCCTGAGCCCGCGGGTTCGAGACCCGCCTGGGCAGCAAGACCTCATCTCTACAATAAATCAAAAAATTAGCCGGGCATGGTAGCGCGTGCCTGTAGTTCCGGCTACTTGGAAGGCTGAGGCGGAAGGATGGCCGGAGCTCAGCAGGCCGAGGCTGCGGTGGCCAGAAGCGTGCCAGTCTGGGCGACAGAGTGAGACTCCAACTCAAAAAAACAAAGCAAAACAAAACAAACAACAACAAGAAAGAAGGTATCGGAAGGGGCCAGGACACTGCCCACTCCAGCGGCCTGAGTGGCCATACGTGCATATGTGTCCCGTGGCTCATGCCTCCTGGTCACAGCTGATTGTATCAGGGAAGGGCGTCTCCAGACTGTCTAGTGACCCATGGAAAAATGAGTGGGATCAGTCGGATTCTTTTGCTCAAGGGTCAGCTGTTCGGAGGGGAGTGGCCACAGCATTGCAGGTGGTGGGTCAGCCAGCCGGGGCTGGGGGCTAGCAGAGGCGGAACACAGTTCCAGGGGAACAAAACCTCTGAGTGAGCAAATCAGTGGCAAGGAGAGAACGGGGCAGGCAAAAGCAGAGAAGACAACTGCTCACGTGTTGAGAAACTACTACGGTCCAGGCGCTGTTCTAGGCTCTTAATGTGTTTTTCTCACTTAATCATCATAACCCACAAAGCAGACACTATTCCACTATTATTCTGATGTCACAGGTAAAGAGATACAGCACAAAGCCGGACACGGTGGCTCACGCCTGTAATCCCAGCACTTTGGGAGGTGGAGGTGAAAGGATTGCCTGAGGGGTTTGAGACCAGCCTGGACAACTTGGCGAGACCTCCTCTCTATAAAAAATCAAAACACTAGTTGGGCGTGGGGGCGAACACCTGTAGTTCCTACTCCTTGGAACTTCCACTGAGGCAGAAGGATCACCTGAGCCCAGCAGGTTGAGGCTGCCGTGGCTGTGGGCATGCCACTGCACTCCAACCTGGACAACAGTGTGAGACTCCATCTGAAAAAAAAAGAAAGAAAAAAGAAACAAGCACAGAGAGGTTGAGTAACTTGCTCAAGGTCGCACAGTCAGTGGGTAGTAGAGCTGTGCCTTTGAGCTCTGGCTGGTGACCGCAGTGTCACCCTTCTGCCTTCATCATGGTTGTGAGGCCGCCTTAGTTCCAGGTCTGGCATTGTGGCTTCAGTCCTAGGGCTCCAGGGAGCTCCTTCTTGTCTTTTTTTTTTTTTGAGTTGGAGTCTCACTCTAAAGTGTCGCCCAGACTGGAGTGCAGTGGCCGCTCCCGGCCATCGCAGCCTCGACCTGCTGGGCTCCGGCGATCCTTCCGCCTCTGCCTTCCGAGTTGCCAGAATAACAGGCATGCGCTACCACGCCCAGCTGATTTTTTGATTTATTGTAGAGATGAGGTCTCGCTGCCCAGGCGGGTCTCGAACCCGCGGGCTCAGGCAATCCACTCACCTCAGCCTCCCAAAGGCGCGGGATTACAGGCTGAGCCCTTCTTGTCTTTTTATACCAAAGTTACCTTCTGTGGGTCTCTGTCTTTGGCAGCTGAAGGAGCCTGATGAGAATTCTAAGAGGTTCTGGCAGGGGACGGTGGGATACTTTCCAGCCCGGGCCTCCCCGGCCTCCCAGGATCCTTTGAATGGGTCCCATGTGGGGTGGTCCCACGGGTCACTTTGGCGTGAGGCTCCCTGGCTGCAGGTTGCTCCCGAGAGCTGGCAGCATGGGTCGAGCAGATGGGGAGGTTTGTTTAGCTGGAAGCTTCCCATGGCCAAGACATATTTGCACAGTGACGACATCTGAGTGCTGGCTGGGGGTGCAGATGCAACAATGACCACTTTGGTCCCAGAAAGGAGGTGGTGGTGGCTGAAATTCCTTTCATATTTGTGCTGCAGAGAAACACCATTCATGCTGAAAAGCACAAGTGGGAGCTGTGTCCGGGGCGGGGGCGGGGGGTGTGCTGGAAGTCCGTGGGGTGACAGGCAGCTCCAAGTCTGTCCCTGGACTCTAGCCCTGATTCTGGACTCCATGGCTTTAAACACGGGAGCTGTTGTCCTCGCTCTCCCTTAGGGGTCTGTGTGTGTGAGCACAGGGCCTGCAGGCGGGGACCTGGGGTCAGGGAAACACCCAGGGCTCCACCGGGATGTGACTTTCTGGCATGTGACTTTCTGGCATGTGACCGACTCAAGGTCAGCCTGGCTAAACCTCTCCAGAACAGGAAGACGGAGCCTCCACTCCCTCCTCTTCCCTGTGGTCCCTCTCTTCCAGGCTGGCAGTGTCCCACCCCCTGTGGCCTAAGGTGGTCTAGAATTCTCAAACAAGGGGGCCACAGCAAAAGACAAGCTGGGCTCCCATAAGCTGTAGCAAAGCCCAGCCCAGAGTAGGGTGCAGTTGGGCACGGAGGCCAGGGTGACGTGAAGCATGACGAGGGAGAGTCCAGACAGATCTAGGACAGCCCTGAGTTCGAGGGGAAGCCTTGGGGCAGCTGTCTTCAAAGCGGGGTGGCTGCAGCTTTGGGGGTACATCAGTCTTTAGAATTGTGTAGATGCATGTTGTAAGAATAATTTAAGAATACCCGAAGTTTACGGCCCGTGGCATCCCCTATTAGGGTGCACTGGTGTGGGTTTCTCAGCAGAGGCGGCCCAACTGGACAGGCTGGCTCCTCCCACATTCCTTTCTCCCGGTGCTGCTCCTCCATGGCAGCAGGAACTCCGCTGGCAATGCCCAAGGGTCTGAGATGACCAGTCCTGCCCTGGTCTCTCCCGGCTGTGCTCTGGGGGCAGCAAGGGGCTCAGGACCTCCCAAAGGACAGGTCGTATCAACTCTGCTCAGACCCCTCTGCCTTCCCCTGGCTCCTCCCCAGGCTTCCGCCAACAGGCTTCACTCGGCAACACCCACCAACTCAAGTCCAAATCTTCCCCGAGGGCCCCTCCCTCCCCTCCTTCCTCCTCCACATGCCCACCCCTCCCGGCTGGCTGTCAGGGTCCAGGCCCTGGCCCTGATGACTTCTCAAGGCTGGCTTCGGGGCCACATGCCCGATGAATGAACATACCGCTTCAGACAAACCTTCCCCTTCAAGGGTCTCTTTATTCAATCTGCAGAGTCACTGTCGCCCACTTGGCCTGGCCCTCTGTGGCTTCCAATGAGGGAATGTTTAAAAGTTGAAGTGCATTTGGGGGGCCTTTCCTGTTACCAAGAATTGACTGCAACCTCTTGGGGCACCCCGCGATAAATCAACAGCATTTGCTTTTTCTTTTTTTTTTCCTAACAGAATTCCAGAAAAAAAATAGATCTCTATTATATATATAACTATACTTATATACACACGTACACTTATAGAGAGGTCCTCCAACCAAGAAGAGACAGAGGATCCAGCGTCTTCCGAGGTGCCTCGGGGCCTGGTGTAGGAGGGCCAGGAGGCGCTGGCTCTCTTGAGAGGCACCTCGGGACTCAGTGCTGATCCAGGGTGGCGTGGATGAGGGCTCCTCAACGGCCCTGTCCCTGTGAGGAAGATGGGACCACCCAGTCTTTCCTCACGTACCTGATGGTGCTTCAAAGCTGAAACCCAGAGTGCGCATAAAAAACCATTCCCTGATAGGCTCTGGGGGCCTGATTTCCTGGGGAAGTTCTCAGAGCACCATGCAGTGCATCTGGGAGTAGGAGGGACCACCCCTCCCCGGCAGCTCCAGGGGGCCCCGCAGACAGACTCTGTCAAGGACACAGACAGAAAGGAGGGGCCGGGCCGATCTCTGCCTCAGGTCTCTAATCACAGCCCTTAGAGACCCTAGGATCGGGAACCCAGATGGCCAGGGTGGGGCTGGGGTCATCCAAGAAGGCCCAGGGTGAAACACAGGCTGCGGGTGATATGTACTGGGGACAGTCCTAGAGACCGTCACTTCCATGTCGTTAGTCCTAGAGGAACCTGCACTGTAGGGCAAGGCTTGAAGGGATGATGTGGGCACTCAGGGGATTAGATGGGGCTGGGGCTGGCAACTGTCTTTTGAATCCTAAGACCCATCCAGGGACCGCTGGCCTAGGGCCCAGGAGGCCGCTTGGGCTGGGGCACGTTTCCAGGGACATTGGGGTGGATGGACATGGTAGAGTTAATTAGGGCCAGTGCTCAGTGCCTTTGGACAGACACCGGAGGCCCCGAAGGCACTTGGTAGCAGACAGAAGAGCACGGCAGGGCCCAGCTGGCCTCAGCGGACAGAGGGACATCGCTGGCATAATCCACCAACTCCAAATCTGGGAGTGGTCCACAGACGCCCTTTCTGCCCACTCACCAGCAGTTTTTTCAAGCTGCAACTGCCCTGGGCAAGCCCTGAGAGGGATCCAGAAGCCTACTCTGTCCTGAGATCGGGAGTGAGACCCGGGATAGGGGGTGCTCAGACCCCAAGCCAGAGGCATGGCTGGGGTGAAGTTTAGCCGTGAGGCTTCCCCCTGCCCGAGCTCTCAAGCAGCAAGTCCGGTCCCCACAACTCTCCAAAGGCACTTAGGGTTCAAGCCAGACTGTCTCTAAGGCACCAAGGAAGGACTCTGGGAAGACCCTCTTGGCGGAGCTAAGAGGGGAACTGGGGCTGCAGCCCACAGAAGTGCTCTTGAGTGATGTATTTCCCCGAGGCCCCACTCCTGATTACCATTGTCCCCTGTCCTGCCCCAGCTCCCCGCTGCCTCCACTGGGCAGCCCCCTCCCTCCTACGGCTGCAGCGTGGTCAGAGCTCTCTGGGGATGATTGAGAAAGGCAGCACGGGGCTGCTGGCCTCCAGCTCCAGGGCGGTGAGGAAGCAGTCGACCGCGGCCTCGCTCTGGCCCTGGGCCTGCAGCACCTCGCCCAGGCCCTGCCACGCCTCGTGGCATGTGCTCTGCCTCTCCACGGCGTCCCGAAGCACCTTCTGGGCCAGGCTCTTGTGGCCCAGCCGACTCAGCGTCAGACCCTGCGGACCAAGCACGGGGCGGGGTTAGTGAGGGCGTCCCGGGCACGGGCGTCCTGGCAATCGGGGCCAAGTGCAGGAGGCAGCTCGCCCAGTGGCCACTAGCCAGAGAGGTCTCCGTGTCTCTGGCTTGGGCGTTGTCAAGCAATCGTGCCCTTTGCCCATGCAAATCCTCCCCATCCCTGTGCAAGCCGTGCCTCGGCCCCCACCTCCCGGGCCACCCATTGCGGGATCCCTGTTCCTCCTGGCCCCGAGAGACAGGCTTTCAAGTCACCAGGCCTGGCTTTGAGTCCCCCCATCTGGAGGACCCTGGGTAAGTCATAGCTCTCTGGCGCTCAGTGTAAATGGTGAAATCACAGTGTCTACCTCGAGGGCTGCTGGGAAGTTGGAAAGCAGTCAGGGTCCATAAAGCCCTGAGAACAACATCTGGGCCGAGGGATCTCTCAGTAAACGAGCCGTTCTTCTCGGTCCTTGCCGCCTGCCACACATGGCTGGCCTTCGCCCCAGGGATGCCCAGTGCCAGAGCAGTGCACACTAGAGGGCTTCAGCACGGCCACTTGGGGAAGGGGAGCTTGGGGGTGGGAGGGACGGCTCCCTCGCCTTGATCAGGCAGCCAGTCTTCCCAGGGACATCCGGGTCCCGGGACCGAAGCACTCAGCCCAGCCCAGCCCGGCCCAGCAGGTGAGGGTCACGGGAGGAGAGTCAGGTGGCCACAGGGATCGGGGCAGTGCTGGATGAACGGGCTGGATCAGGTCAGGGATGAAGGCCTCGGGGACTCTGAGTCAGGAGCGGCTGGGAAGCTTGGCCCTGCTGTTTGGCTCAAACAACCCTGTTGCTAGTGAGATAGAGGAAGTGAACAGGAATTGTCACAAAAAGGGGCTGGGAAGTGAAACTGGCAGCTTGTCCCCTCTACATCCTCTTCCTCCCACACTGGGAAAGGGGGCTGGGGGGACAGGGCTCCCTTGCAGCCTCTGGTCCCAGAAGGGCTGCTCTGCACAGTGCCACCATCTCTGTTCAGCCCTCAAAGGCAGCATGGGATGACAGCACAGGGGGCCCCCCTTCTCTTGTTCAAAGATAGGAAGTAAAGCCCACCACCGACTTCCTGGACAGGCGGGGCCGGGGTGGGGGGGAAGCTGCCTTCTCTGTGCCTGGAGCCCCCTCTCCGGTGCCCGCCCACTGACGGCCATGTACATTTTTAGCTGGAACATTTTCCTCCTCGCCGAGCTCCCCGGAGTTAGGCCCTCGGTTGCTATGGAGACACACTGGGGAAGATGCACATGCCTGATTTCATAAAGTCCTCGGAGGGCCTGGAACACCACCAATTAGGCAAGAGTGAAAGATGGCGTTCAGGAAGCGCTGGCTGGAGAGCCCGTGGCCGGGGGTGGGGGAGGAGGTGGGGGCTGTCCTCACAGCGCCTCTGTCAGCCCCGGGCACAGCCGCGCCCAAGGAACCACACACTGGCAAGGGGAGGACAGGGGAGGACAGGGGAGGACAGGGGAGCTGCGGCTGGGGCGGAGCCTCAGGCAGGGCGCTGGATCCCGCCAGATGGGAGCGGTGCTGACTCAGGGCCGCCCAGGACCGGGCAGGGTCCCGGCTGGCCAGCAGGGCCCTGGGCCAGGCTGCTCTGCCCACACCACCCCAGGGCCGGACCCCGAGCGGCTCACAGTGGAACACGGCCCACAGGGAGGAGGGAAGGCAGGCCAGCCGACTGGCCGCCAGACACCAAAATTAAGCACCAAAAATGGAAGGTTTGAGCCCCGTGAGTGCGGCCCATAGGGAGCAACAGAGGACAGATGGGAAAGGCCAGCGGGGCCTCCCGGGGAGGGGCCGGGCCGGAGAGGCCTCCACACGCTTGCTTTTCTATATTGAGCTTCCACAGGAGATTGTGTTTGAAAAGAGAGCTCGACTGCTAAAAAGGAGTTTGAAAACCCCTGATCTAAAGATGTGTGTGGGTGTCTGGGAAGCGGCCAGATGTGCCTGCAGGCTCAACTCTGTGTGTGTGTGTGTGTGTGTGTGTGTGTGAGATTCTGTTTGAAAGATCTGCAGTTGGTTCCTCTGTGCATCTGTGTAGAGGAAAAAACTCAGGGCCCGGCAGTCAGAAGCCCCGGCAGGGCTGGAATCCCAGCTCTGCCACTCACAAGGCTGTGACCATGGACGAGTGGCCAACTTTCTCTCTGAGCTGTGGTTTCCTCATCTATAAACTGAGCAAAGAAATAGTCCTTCCCCGTGGGGCTCTGAAATGACGAGTTTGAAAAGCATAGCGGGGGCATGTGAGGGGCAGACAGCAGGTGGCACTGATTCCAAGATGGGCAGAGGGTCCTCAGGGGCTGGGAACAGAGGGAACTGCTGATCTCTCTCAAGGCTGGGAGAGGACACAAGCTCTGTGGGGAAGGCTGTAGGCTGGGGTGGGGCTGGCTCACGTCCCCCCACCCTGGGGTGCTGACCTTAGAGCCTGAAAGGAGACACCGGGCCGGGGTCAGGCTGGGGCCCAGAGGCCCAGGGCTTGTAACAGGATCTGTTGCCATCTGCCCCTGACACAGCCGGGTTCATGTTGGGTAGCAACTCGGCCCTGACAACTGGGCGGGGCCCAGCCCAGGAAGATGTGAGGTCTCACCTACTCTGTCCCAGCCTGGCGCCGCACCGGGGTGCGCAGACACCCTGGCGGCACCCCCACCCTCCCGGAGAACAGGTCTCCAGGGAGACGGGCGGGGAACAGATCTGGCATCTCAATTCCATCCAATGTCCCCGCTGAATCCTCCCCGTCCCTGGTGGGGGCGCCCCCACACTGAGAGCGGAGACCAGGACTGCCCAGAAGCTCTCGGTTTCTGACCCTCCCCTGGGAGATGCCATTGCCAGGCTGCCAACCCACAGGGACTGGAAGGTGATGGCAAGTTGTTTATGGTGACCAGGCACGGCACCTCCAGGGGACACGTGGGCCAGTCATAGCCGCCAACATGGTTTCAGAGAGGCACGGGACTCTGGGGGAAGTGCCCACGACTTCCCACCTCACTCCCTCCTTCTTCCCTTCCTTTCTACATCTCAGGGAGAAGGGGGTGTCTGGGCACATCTCATCCGCCTCTGACACCCGCCCCCCGGAAGCCTCCCAAGGATGGAGTCCCTCCTACCCACACGACTGCCTTGTATTCAGTCCCTTTCCTGCCGCTCCCCAGGCCAAGAGGGACAGGGCCCAGCCTCCTGCCTTGCTTGGTCATTTCCCACAGGACAGCAGTTCAACAGAGCTCGGGTGGGAGGAGGAGGGTTCTGGACACAGAGCCAGAGGACACCAGGAATCCTGGTGCTTACAGAGCCGGACAGTCGGCCAGGGATGCTGCCCACAAGGAGACGGGCAAACCCTACCTCTTAGAGCCACAAAGGCGGGCAGCCTGAGGGTCAGGGCCCTGCTGGCATCTGCTCTTACACTCTGAGGGGGGAGCCTCCCGGTGGGAGCTGGGTCCTCACAGTGTGGGGCCGGGGGCTGCAGCCTGGGAGGGGGACGATGAGAAAGAGTCCTGACTTTCTTTTAGGAACTGCCACCACGCTGTCCCACCCCACTCATTCAGTGCCCGGTGATGCTCCCTAGAGGGGCGGGGCAGCAGGAAGTTCGAGGGGTGCATGTGTCTCTTTTGCGGGGAGGCCGCCCTGGGAAGCACTGGGCCAGGCTGAGTGCTCCCTCTCCACCCCTGCCCTCAAGTATTTATAGAAGTTATTTTGGGAATTTTCTTTCTGAGCTCAAGGCACATTCCTAGGATTCTGAAACGGCCTTTCCAGCTCTTTCCAGCTGGGAAGCCGGGACTCAGCTGGAGGCTGTTGGAGCCTTCTGGTCCCTGGAGCCCCCGTTTGGGGACGCGGGGACTGCCGGGAGAAGCCTGCTCTACAGGAAGGGCTCCCTCTCTCCAGCCACCCAGTGTGCAGACACGCCCTGCCAGGGAGGCCCACATTCCGGCCCAGCTCCTGCTCTCTGGCATTCCTGATTCTCTCAGGTGTGTCAGTCCCAACCAGTCCAACCAGACCAGGAACAGGAAGGAGGCGACTCTCCAGGTCAAGAACCTACCCTTCACTTCACATCACCCTCTGGAGCCCAGGCAGCTTCAAGGCCACAGGCGGGTCCCACTTCCCTGTTGGGAGGAGGTGCAAACTCTTCCAGACCCCACCCAATGCCTGAGGAGGGACTGCTCACTCCAGACCCCCCTGGGCCTCAAAGGAAGAGGCTCCAGCTGAGAAGGGCCCAGTTTCACTGGGAGCCCAGCCCAGATGGGAGTCTCTTTGTGTTGCTGAACCTATGCCTATCTCCTTTCTCACTCGGGGTCCGCTAGAGGGGAGAGGGGGCCAGCCTGTGGGTCACATGGAGAGCCTGAGAACCCACAGGGAAGCAGACTCCTTTGCCAGCTGCCTCCTTGGGGCAGGGGGCCAGGCCTTTTCTCCTCCCCTTTCTACACTCTCTGGGCTGCGGAGTGAGACGTGGGCCCAGTTGCAGAGGCCTGTTGGGGGAGCACAGAGGGCTACTGAATGGGCACCATGTTGCTCCCCCCAAATCTTTCTGACTCCTCTTTTGACAAAATTGATTCTGGAGCTAAATTAAGCCACCAGTGTTCAACTATCATTCTGATCTGAACCCATGACAGGTTTACAAAAGTATCCTCTCTGCTTCCTCATCAGAGTTGGTGATGGACTTCAGCTCACACACCAGCTGTCTCAGGGACAGGTAAGTGTGGGGGCCTCTGAACCCCAGCGAGCAGGGGCTGGGGGACAGGGCCTTACACCTCCTCTGGGCCCTGGGCCTGCAGATCCCCCTACTTTCTCCCTTCTCTCCGCTTTCCTATCAGGGCATGGGACCTCAGACAGTGATGGCGAGGGTGAAGGGAGAACCCACAAGAAAGCCACCTCACCAGGCAGTCAGATGGCCAAGACATGCCTGTTGAACTTTCCTGCCAGACAGAAGCAATATTCCACTTCTGCTGGAGGATGGTGGGCCAGAGCAAGACTTCTGGGTCCCCTCTGGTGCC